AGAGTTCAAGAAGAACTGAGGAGGGTGAAATGCGGAGCTCAGTCACAAGGCATGGCATTCGTGCAGTCTGCGTGGCTCCTAGGGAATAGCTAGAGAAGGCTGCCTTCCATGTGATAAGAGGACGCGCTGTACCCCACCTGCCTACAACATTTGGTATTTGCCTTTCTTCCTGTACTTGCAGCTGTTGAGATTCTACTTACAACCTTCCTACCCACCACACATTCTTCCAATAAATCAACTAAAACTGGAAATGTTTTTGGCCAAGTTCATGGACTATATGGACTCCTGGATGGCTAACAGTCCCTCCTACCACCTTGTACCAGAGCCAGGAGCCTCTAAATCAGCGGTTCTCAACCTGTGGGTCACGACTCCTTTGGGGGTCGAACGACCCTTTCACAGGAGTCGCCTAAGACTATCGGAAAACACATATATAATTACATATTGTTTTTGTGATTAATCACTATGCTTTAATTATGTTCAATTTGTAACAATGAAAATACACCCTGCATATCAGATATTTACATTATGATTCATAACAGTGGCAAAATTACAGTTATGAAGTAGCAACGAAAATAATTTCATGGTTGGGGGTCACCACAACATGAGGAACCGTATTAAAGGGTCGCGGCATTAGGAAGGTTGAGAACCACTGCTCTAAATGGTAACAAAGCACTGTACTCTGCATGTTTACATCTGGGCATTTGTAAAGCCTAAAAGAGCCCAGCCCCAACATTTCACTTTGTCACTATGGATGATTCTTAGGTTACTCCAACTGGAATCTGTAAAATCAGTACTTTATCCTATAAAATAGGGTGGCTGTTTTATCAATTTTATAGAATTAAACCTGTTTTCTTAAAACTGGGGAGACTGTTCTTAGTGTTCTTCAACTTGGAAAAGCCAGTGCTGTGATTAAGAGATAAGAATGCTTTGAAACACTGTTTTGTAACATGAGAAAAGGCCAATGGATAGGATTAATTGCAGAGCAGATGGATAACTTAAAAGATTTAAGTACTGGCATATTACAAAATATTTTCCAGGAAACAGTGACCTCTTGTTCATATGACCACATATTTATGTCAGAAGGAAGAATTTTCAGATAATGAGGTGGGAGGAAATGAAAAAGGAAAGATGTGTACTGGCCTAGAATGAAAGAAAGAGTAGCTGTTTATTATACCGAACACTGTTAAAAATGAAATGAACTATTATATTTTTGGAATGGTTTGTAGCAATTAGAAAGTAGAAAACAGCATGGTATATAGTTGAAAGAAAGATTAGAAAACAGCACAGAATATAGTTAAAATATCCCCAGATGACATGTAAGAGACACTAATTCTATTCCTGGTTCTACATTAACCTGTGTGACCTTAAAAGACAGGGAGGTCATGCCACCTTGCTGAACTTTAATTCCTTATTTGTAAAAAGAGTATGTTATCTTCCCAATTGAACACAATCCAAAATGCTCTGTAAAGAGCTGTATAAGTGGAAAGCACGGTAATTTCCTCAAGTCCTGTGGTTCATTGAATAGTTCTTGTAACAAACGGTGGTTTTATTATTTCCACTTTTGTGGAGAACAACAATTTACAATGTAGAGTCCTATAAATTATATGGGCAAGCTCCCTACCTCTAAAAGCCTCATCCTCATTCTACACACGAAGCAATGAGCCAGTAAGATAAAATGTGACCAGTTTCTGATACAAGTTCTGCTGAACTCCTTTCTTTATCACTAACTAAATGCAACACGCACGCAGCAAAATTTCAACTGTTTTAGCAACTTTAAATACTGGTACATGCAAGAGAACAGAAAATCTCAGAGATAAAATATTTATAAATTGCTCAAGAGGCCTCAAATGTGTGAGATCATATGTTTTAGGAGGCAATGTACAAAGTAGTTAAGAAAAGAGTTAATAAGGCTTGACTGCCAAGTTTGCAGGCCCACTTCCTTAGTTGTGGGACCTTTATCTCATTGTGCCTCAGTTTCCCTGTCTGTAAAAATGGGAAAACTAATAGCAACTATCTCAGGGGGCTTCTGTGATTATAAATGCTGTGATATATGTAAAGTACTCAGAACACAAGTGGTGGCTATTATTATTTTAATGTATCATCACTAAAAGCCTCTTCCCAGATACAGTTAACAGGTCCTTTAATGAATTATTTTTTTTCAGGCATTTTATGTATTTCCTTCTATTATTTAAGAAGTCCAGTTAAATTGTGTAAAGTGTTTTATCATGTCATTTATTTTTGCCATGGGAATAAAGGAGATAAGCTACTCATCACTTACAGTTGAAGTTTTGCATGAGTAATAGTTTGGGTCAAAGGTTAGTGGTTCCAGAAGTACATTTTATAAACTGACCCCTATAAAGTAAGACATTACTGAAATGCCTCAATGAAAAAAATTTATATCATTTAGATATTGATGCAATCATCAAATAATGCCGTATTTTTTTTTAACTTACCTGATATGGTTGCTACTTGAACTAACGTCCCATTCTCCTTCCAGTGACCATCATCAATTCCTTCAAAAAAGCAGGCAGCTCCTTGATTACACCAGAATGGAGCATTCATTTCAGGTCGGAGATGGGGAAATGTGCAGTTTCCAAGTTGGAAAAGTTCATACCATTCCATTGTGTAGTTCTTGCCAGTTAAAGTACTCTTGAATCCAATGGCATCGTGCATAATTTTCTGTGTAAAGACCATACAGGCATAAAAGTATTTGTGAAGCAACCACTGGTCCAGGAACCAGAGGGAGCAAATGTGACAGATATACCACAAACGCAGGTCAAGCAGAACAACTGTTCAGCTGTTCCTCCTTCCATGATGCCACTCAGTCCACTTTATAGCTCCTCAAATTTCAGACCCTCATCCACTCTGATTGCCACTGCAGCTCACCTCAGTGATCGGGAAAACATATGCTATGTGGACATGTTCCTAATTTCCTTACATCTTAGAATGACTGTGAGAGGCCCCCATGCCACAGTCTCAGGAAGGAACTCTATGTACCTCACAGGGGGTGAGACACTCAAATGGTGGACTAGCCCAGGAAGAGTACATTCAACAGGACCCGAAAATGAAGAAGTGTTTCCTGACTGCTTTGCCCGTTCCTCTGGGCCTCCTCCCTTCCTACTTTTCCAGGAGCTGAGTACAGGAATGGAGTTTGGATTCAGAATATTAAAAGGAATGAGAGCAGCTGCATTTATTATTGTCAGGATCACAAAACCTGATAATGTTGGGGTTTTTTTGATTATTCATTTTTTAAACAATATTTTATTGATTTCAGAGAGGAAGGGAGAGGGAAAGATAGAAACATCATTGATGAGAGAATTTGATTGGCTGCCTCCTGCACACCCCCTAGTGGGGATCAAGCCCGCAACCCGGGCATGTGCCCTGACCAGGAATCAAACCCTGACCTCCTTCCTGGTTCATAGGTCGATGCCCAACCACTGAGCCATGCTGGCCGGGCTTGACTACTCATTCTAAATACACGCAGAGCAAAACCAATAAACATAATCTAAACTATTTCCTCAAATCCACTTAATAATGACATAATTTAATTAACTAAACTTGTAAGATCAAGATACATCCTTACCAAGTGTCCCAGGAGGTCTCCATATTTAAATTCCCATACTGGGGCTTGTAACCGAAAGACTTCAATGACATCATCACCCTTCATAACTGGGGTAGGGGAGCCAGTTGGACAGAAAGTGTATTTAGCTTGACAGTAAGGATCTGGTGCCGGACGGAAGGAAAAGCGTCTAATAAAGAAAAAGAAACCATCAACTTAGGATGCTGCTTCTTGCACATTTTAAAACCCAAATTTTAACTTCACTGTCAATAACATTTTTAGAGAAAACATTTAAAGCTAAGCCCATAGCATATAAATATACATTTTATTTATCCTGTGAACAAACTCCAATGATTTCTTTTACAGCAAAAGATACATTAAAAACATGTGGATAATAGCTGCTTCCCTGTTTCTTGCTCCCACTGGGAGAATTTTGAAGATGGGGACCATACCTTAAAGTGTTATAGCTCTAGATCTTATTTAGTAGACAAATGTTTACTGAATAAAGGAATAATTTTCAAATGATACTTAATTTCCCAAACAATCTATATGCTAAGTGCTAAGGTTATTCAAGGATAATTATGATTAAATAGAATATTTTTACTATTTTCTTAAAAATTCACTAATATTCCTTAAACCAGTATTTATTGAGGACTTCCTAGTATGTGTAGGACACTATACTAGGAAGGAGGGAAATAAAAATTATAATGTTATTTCCTTCCTCGAGGCGCTTTGGGTCTGGGCTGGGAAGACATTAAACAATGAAGCGCAGTGTAGTAGGTGTTAGACCAAAGAAATACACAAAGTCCTATGGACACAGAAGAGGAAGAAATCATTTCCACCTGTATGGGATAGGTGGGTGTGAGGAGGTCAAAGAGAGCGATGAAGATCTGGCCTAGGTTTTTAAGCTACTTTCGAAGATTAGGACAGAAAGGGAGAGAAAACACTAAGTATATAAGCACAACACACTGGAAGAGTCTCTGGTAGGTAATTTAGGCTTCCAGGCAAGAGTGGTGAGAGGAGAGGGAGGCAGTCGAACCCCCTGAGTCCTACCACCGGGAGGGCAGAGTCTAGGAGTCAGCATAAAGGATTTTAAGTAGCAGAACTGATATGACTGATTTTGTGGTAAGATAAACCTTATTTTATAAATTAGAAGAAGGGAGAGAGGCCAAATTAAGGCTGAGAGGTCAGTTTTAGGAGGTTACTTCATGCAGCAAGGAAAGAAAGTGGCCTGAGAAGGCCATGGCAATAGGACTACAACTGAATTCAGCTCAATGTTTACTGGTCACCTCCCATATTAGACACGGGGAGAAAAGATGGAAGGGAAAGAAGCTACCTATATCTGTGCTCTAAGAATCCTAGATCTCTGAGGTTCCAGCTAGAGCTACTATTTTACAATCCTAGCACATCAACAAAAATTCTTATTTTAATTGAAATCTAGATGTTAGCCAATAATAGTAACAACCCTCAGGAACATTGCCCAGATTCAGGTATACTCACCTGTTTGATAGGTGCTTACCTGGTTTAAACAAACGTTTAATTATGTATGTCTCACCTGCCCACTGCAAAACCTATTTTACGTCTAAGGTAATTTCTAAAGCATAATTTAAGTCCACACTTAATAAATTTCCTTATATACAGGTGAGGTTATTAGATAGCAACATATACTTCATATTTGAAACTGTTTAACATAAGAAGTCATACTCAATACCCTGCCCTTAAATCAAGTAGTTTTGCATTTACACTTTCCTCCTTGTTTTATTGAATATTTAATTTTTACTTCCTATGAACATTTTATTAACATTTCCCAGAACACCAGCATCAACCCCAAACTTCTCTTTTCATGTACAGCAAGCAAAACAAGAACTGGTGAAAACCACTCCGTGAGCGAAATCCACTAATATCCAGGTTTGACAACAGCTGGCATTTACTAGATTTAATCCTCCCAACAAAACTAAGGTAGTGCTACTACTATCCCCCCTTTCTGACGGAGGACACGTGGGCACAGAGGTACTGAACAACTTTGCCAAGATCACACAGCTAGTCATGATGGTGCCGGATCTGATCAGCGGCAGGTGGAATCCGAAACTCACTCCCAACTCACTATTTTGTCATCTAAAATTGTTGTGTTTTCTTTCTATATATAGTATGATTTTACTTTTTTTTTTATTGATTTCAGAGAGGAAGGGAGAGGAAGAGAGAGATGGAAACATCAATGATGAGAATCACTGACTGGCTGCCTCCTGCACCCCCACACTGGGGATGAGACCCGCCTGCGCCCTGACCTGAATGGAACCCTGATGGCCATGCTCACCGGCTGGGTTGAGCCTCACCGGCCTGGCTAGTTTTAATGCGTTTTCAAAGCTGCTGGCGTTTCGCGAGCCCCAAGTGACAGCATGTTTTCTTTCTCTTTGTTTAGCCACCTGACAGTATCAGGCCAAGTAAATACTCTTCTAGGTCAAAGGCTGGATTCCGCCTCACGGTTCTGCAGCCCCCGCGCTTGACTTGCGACCAGCGTCCTACCTCCGGGCTTAAGCCGGCGTGCGAAGGAAGTGTCACCCGCCCGCCTGGGCCTTCCCGGGACATCGGACTTTCGGTGCTAAAAACGGGAAGTCCCGGCGAACCGAGCCCAGGGGATGCTGCTGTAAAGTCTGCCAAAGGTTATGCACTCACGGTAGCTAATGATGGCGTAACATAATAAACGTGAAGTTAAAAGTCCCCACTGTTCCAAGAGTCTAAAAGTGACGCGATAAAATAGCTTTACTTCCCTTCTCTTCCAGAATTCAGGTCAGCCCTGGGTCTGTTCCCTCCTCACTGACACAAGTGTCCCTAAGAGAGAGGCCCCAGGGCGGCACGCAACAGGCAGGTGCCACTCCCGCGCTCCCAACTTCCTTCCACACCGCGCCGGGGTTTGCCCACGGCCCCCCCGCCCTCTGCCCTGGCCCTGGCCGGAGACTCGTCGCCCGGCGCAGGAAGCCTTCCTGAGTTTGGGGGCGGGTCTCCCGCGGCCCAGTTCCCTTCCTCCCGGGTGTCCTGAAGCTCCATCAGGTCTTGGCCTCTATTCTTTCTAAACCCACCGGGTGCTGGGTGCCGGGTGGGATGGGGGGCAGGGTTGGGGGAAGGGACTGGATGTGTTGGGTCTTCCGACCTAACTTCTCCGGTTAAAGATCACCTTTCCTTTGGAGCTTCTTCTGACACCACCCCACTTTGGGCTCCTTTCTGCCCTGTCCCACAGGCCCAGACTAGGTGACGACGAACATTTGAGTGAAGGAGAGAGTCTTTGGGATGTTAGATGCAATGGGAAGGCCATCTTGGCGGGATGGCTTGTCCTCACCTGACCTCATCGGTGTTACTCAAGTATGGTAGCAATCATCTCAGGTAGAAACTATAGTTTAACTCTAACCCTGCTGTTTGGCTTCTGTACTTATTTGCTTTGTTTAACAATAGAAAAGTTACTTTGACTTTCTGAATTGTATAAATCATCGCATTCGGTTGAATGCCTTATTGATTGTAACGTGACTATCCCATTGATTGTGATCTTACTGGTTTTAGAAAGCACATTCCTCTGTACCTGGGAACCAGGACAGCACAATTATCCAAGACCTGAGGGTTCCAGATAATGTTTCCCTGTCAACTCAGTGGTCCGAAGACCCAAGGGCTATAGATAGTGTGTTTCTGTCAACTCAGTGGTCCGAAGACCCAAGGGCTATAGATAGTGTGTTTCTGTCAACTCAGTGGTCCGAAGACCCAAGGGCTATAGATAGTGTGTTTCTGTCAACTCAGTGGTCCAAAGACCCAAAACTATAGTTAATCTTTGTAGATGACTAATCGGCTTAATTCTGGTTCTGTAAACTGCTTTTTTTCCAACCAGGTTCCTCATTCCAAACCCTGGGATGTAATCAATTCCTTTGTGATTTTTGCTTATATAAATTTGGTGTTTCAGCCATCTTATGACTGCGAGACTTGGGAGAGAGAAATGCCCCCTCGTAGTCCTGGATTTGCAATTAATGTGACTCTTAAATTCGACTTCTTGAGGTGTCCTTCTGTGATTCGCGGGGTACATTATAACATTACAATGGCCATCACTAACAAATACAGCAGGGGCTGCTGCTCCAGGTGTGGGAGACAGACAGACATGAGCAGAGCAAGGAGGATGGGGCCAGGTACAGAAGGTCACCAGGGTGGGGCATGGATACCTGGTAAAGGGAGCATTCTAAGAACAAGGGTCTCGTGACTTTTCCTCCCCTGGCATGTCGTTAGTCACGCTGATTTGCCCCTTTAGAGAGGAACAAGCGGGGCCGCCGAGAACAGCCTTTAAGCACGAAGCCCCAGGGACAGTGAGGTTCTGACCCTCATCCAATACATTTAGGCCTCAGTTGTGTTTCAGCTCCGGGCTCAGAAAAGCAGCAAAACCAGACAAGTAACTTCACAGCTGGCCGCAGGGCCAGCTGCATTGACTAAGACCTGGTGCCGACCAATCAGGGCACACCTGGCAAGCTGATGAATATTCTGTTGGGTCATCCCCTGGGATCTCTCCTAAAATCCCCCTTAAAAGCCCTTTGGACAGCGGACCCAGCATGGTCTCCCGCTCAGGAGCAGGCTGGTGTCTTTCCCCTCCCCCTCTCCTTCCCACGGGTGCATTACCTTTACCCTCTTCTCCTAAGCTCCAAGGGTTGGGTTCTTTTTGTTGTTGTTTTTTGCCTCTGTAACTTGTTTCCTGAGCCCATTTCTTCTAGAAATTACTTTTTCTACCTTTGTGATTTGCCAAATAAACGTTCTCTTATAGTTTGAGCCTTGGCTCTGAATGCTTTCCTAGCCAGAACTCAAGTACTGAGGTTGCTGAACCCAGGTCCGATCTGACCCCACGGGTCTAACACCAGGTGCCATTCCCCCCCCCCCACCCCATGTTCTTCCTTGTTTGGCTCTACCACTTCACTAGGGAAGAAGATTCTATATTACCCTCTTTTCTTTGACACTTCAGCCACCTCAAGAAAACTATAGATCAGCTGCCCTGCTTTATGACTTACTATGCTATTACACACAGATGTTGGGTTATGTCTATAAATAGAACATTAAAGGTGTCCCTTCTAGTCACTTGTTTTACAAGAGATCAGCAGCCTGCTGAGCTGTTAGGCCAGAGCTTTCCAATGCCCTCACTTCACTCTGAAAGGAGTTTAGGGACAAAATAGGCAGGTTTAGAGAGTTTTAGGAATAAAGTTTTCTTCCACTACTATTTGCAGAGTCACTCTGAAAAGAGTTTTAGGAATAAAATAGGCAGGTTTCGGGGGTTTTAGGAATAAAGAGGGTTCATGGGGGG